ATTGTAAATATATCTATGATTGTAAACTGATTTTTTACTGGCAATTACTGACAGTTTTTTTTAATAATAGCCTAGTCATACATGTACTTAAACTATGATGCCATAGATGGATGAGACACAGACAGAATGTCAACAAATGTTGACATTATATTCCATGGTGGTAAACCAAAAAATGTAAGGCTAGAGTTAATGAGCTGAAGATACCAAATAGCAATATAGGGGWGTGACCCCATTTCCTGGATGATAATGATGTCTCAGGCATTTTGTAAGCTTATTGATTAAGCTTATGCAAGTTATCAGGTTTCATAGCTGACTTTAGAAGTTGGAACTTGCTATCTAAAACTAGAGTGTGAACAATTTTCTTTTTACAACATAAAATAAGCGAATTATGTGTTTACACAAGGTTACAGGGGACTCTATCGAACTGCATCGACGGCATCAACACAAGCGAACAGAACACTTCCACTTTAGTTATGATTTATATACCAGGCTAAATTTAGATCAATCTTACTAGGCAACCACAGCAAGCAATTAATAAAACGAGATTTTAAASTATTAGCAAGGTGAGTGCAATATTTGCTCAAATTGTTATGAGCTGTTGTCGATTTCTTCACAAAGAAAAGAGCGCGCGATATCACAACAACGCGCCAAACAAACTTTATTTCTTTATTGACTTTTCTGACTAACCTTAAAAGTTTTCGAGGCGTTTCATGGAGATTGAGAACTGCGTAGATCTGCAATCCATTATCCCGCACTGGACTTTCGCAGCTCAAAGAATTCATGTCATAAATGCGACAAGAGATCATCAAGAAGATCAAAGAAAATTATTCTAAAGATTTGAAAAAGACCCGCGCAAATTTCAAGGGCATCACGGGATATTCATACGGGGCTTTCACGGAAATGACTTTAGGTGGGAAGGGTAGGTACAATAAAACGTTTTCATTTTGGTCATGAAATAATTCCTTTTAGTATCTTTTCAAAAGTTCATCAAATTATATAATWAATATTTCAAATATTACGTATAGTCAGGTTTCTATTTTTTGCTATTTCTGTTGCGTTTTATAAATAAAATAAATAAATGAAATAGAATCTCTCCACCCTACCCCCGTAAGYTCTAGAAATGACATTGGTATTGTTCCAAATGCATCCTGCGTGAAACTACTTGACTTGTCGCCTGGAGCAGTTCAACTRGATTGTTCCTRTAGAGGAAAGCTGTGGTGTATTTGTTAGTCCGTTTTGGAGCTATTTAAGTCTAACTATGTCTGTTAAAGTGCACGTCGTTTACTGGTGAGTTTATCTGCTTTTTGAGGTGAATTTACCGTTCGYTTTRGTAAATATAAATCAACAGAGAGCTCAACCATGAAATTKTGTTTTTGTTTTGAAGTCTTCTCTAGATTTACACCGGCTTTACACAAACTTGCGTAACTTGATATTACCTTTTGTGCATGATAAAACTGTTCATCCAGATGATAGCTTTTATGAATTAAGCTTTAATCTTCTTTAAGCCGAACAGATTTTGATAGTAGTTTTATTATGGTCATAAGTTTGTCACAAAAAACTGCATGCTCTATGAAAATGAGTTTCTCTGTTCTTGGAAATAACGAAATAATATATAAAATATTAATCTTTTTTCAGAGGAGGATGAGGGTACAAACCGAGGGTAAGCTACTTTTTTGTTTCTCATTGATTTATTCAGTTTTGAAGAGCTAAGTACTTATGCATAACTTAACTTAGTTTGTTTTGAAATTTGGCAAGAACATTACAAAACCAATTAAAGTTTTATGTTATGTGAAACTCTGAATCAGAATTATTTTGCAAAGTGAAAATCTAAAAATATCACACTGCTTTATGTGCCTCGTCATGATAATGTTTTCTTACATGGAATTATATTGATGGCTGTTCACGCTATTGAATTGCTGATAAACATTATAGCTCTCGCTATCTGGTATGTCACATTATTGCAACACCTAATTTTTTATTTATTTTTTTTTTTTGGGGGGGGGTACTCCCATACATTTGCTATATGGGGGCGTGCCACTGGCCAGGGTATGGTTTTTGGCCTTGCTGTCTCAAACAGGGTATACATTTCACCCGGAATTGTCTTAAATAGGCTCTACAATTTAGATAAAAACYAATATAATTTTTTTGTGTGTCTTAGACAGGGTAATATTTTCATAAGAAATACCGTAGAAATAGTAGAAATACCGTTTCACTGTACYAGGATTAAYRTATTATCAAAAACTTCTTATTGTCTTTGATGGATGTCAGTTTAATTGCAGTTTTGAATTTGATGGTTGCAGCGTAGATAGCGATTCCATATTTTTCCGTATTTTTTTGTCTTGAACAGGGTATGGATTTTCACTTTCTAGTGTCTTAAACAGGATCATGGTTTTAGACATACCTATCCAAAACGGGGTAGAGTACTTCCCCCGGGGCTACCTACAATAGTTGACAAAATTGTTATTATGAACACCTCTCACCTCTCCCCCTATACACCCTTTCAATAAGTCCCGAGGTATTGTGTTCTCTGCACTTGACATCAAATTTATTCTTTTGAATTCCTTTTGTATTGCAAAAATTTAAAAAGAATAAATTTGACGTCAAGTGAGGAGAACTCGATACCTCGGGACTTATTGAGAGGGTGCATAGGCAGAAAATGTTATAGTGACATTACAGCTGTGTAGGGATTGCTGTGTTAACGCCTCGTACTTTAAGTAAGGTGCAGAGGGGGCATAAAACAAAAGCATTTACAAAGGAGACTATTTGCTTGATATCGAACGTCAGTGAAAGCTACATATTTTCATTGTGTTTTGGTTTTTAGTATGAGTCATTAAAAGATGATCTCATTCAAGAGTTTGGTAATGCCATTGAAGTGGTAAGCAATTCTATTTACAAATGGTTCATGTCTTTACTTACTTACTAGGGAGTGGTCATCAATATAGTATTGTTGGTGACAAGGGCTGAAAATTATTGTTTTTTGACATACAACTAATTACACAAGCATTGTCCAAGAAAAAAGAACTTTTACTATTTAGGAATTAATTAAAATACAAAGAAAGTGTTYGGCTTCAGTGGTCATGTTTTGTCTTTTAATATATTCCTAATTTCCTAAATCCCTAAATCTCAGGACAACGTTTTTGTAATTAGGTGTATATGGTATTATGATACTGTCGTCCTTTTCAGTTGCAACATAGTATTTTAATATATTCTTGTTCTGTTTATTTGTTGTTATTATTTATTTACAGCAGTATGCAGAAATTAGGATGCTTTTGACTCATATTTCAAGTGTATTATAAAATATATAAGAAATTTTGGGATATCATMACTGATATTTTTTGAAGTTGCCTAGAACTAGCACTGAAAAAATATTGGCAATGATATACATACCATAATTTTTGATATATTTTATATATGAGAGGGTACATCACAAAAGGGGTCTTGTGTCTAGCGGGAAAATCCAGTCTTCCAAAAGAGGCAATTAATTCACTGGCTGCATCAAAAGGGTCTTAATTCTTTAGCCTCTTTTTGTGCTGTCCCTTCTCATATACTTGAAATATGAGMAGAAAGATCATAATTTCTGCACTGCTGTATTTTGGTGCATTAACTGAATGGTTATATCAGCTAATAAAAAGTATTCATTCTTTTAACATTTTAAGTAATTAAAAATTTTTAATCATTCTTTTAACATTAAAATGTTTCATAGGATTACTATGCCACTCCAAATATTACAGGATACTTTGAAGTCGAAGTCAATGGGAAGCTTGTTCATTCTAAGAAGGTTAAAGAAACATTTCAGATAGTGAGCCCCTATAATAGGCAATGTGCAGCAACACGATTTTGCCTAGCAAAGCATGATGGTAGTTGTAGTACTCGTATGTATTTGAAACCCTAAAATATATCCCTAAAAGCCGTTTTTATGTTTTCTTAGTAGAAACGGTAAAACTACTTCTGTTTCTGCTTAGAAAAGCCAAAAACTGCTAAAGAGGACTTTTGTAGCGGACATTAAGACGTATAAGCACTACCATCATGCTGTCCTGCGCAAAATGGGATCACTGCACATTGCTTATTGGGCTACCTCTTTTGTTTTCTAAGCCACACCTGCCTCTTTCTCACTCCCTAGGCCTAACTTCTGTTTGCACTTGCTTCTGCACTTGCTCTTGATTCAATAGTGACAAACAAACAAAACATATAAAAGCAGGGTGTAGGCTGCCTAACAAATTTCATAATGCTGGCCTAAATTAAATGTTTAACTAGTGCTTAAAWGTTTACACAGTATAGTGTGTAAGAACTGGYTGCTAGTATGAGCAGTTCATACAAATTACCATCTTAAAAACAGTTCATGACAAAAGAATTTTGAAATAGAACAAYAAAAGAAGAGAAAAAACAGTGCTTTTAAGCCTTGGGGGAAGGGGGGACCCCCMAAAAATTCCCCACTCCCAAGCCTACAAGWCTGAAAGTGAGTAAGAAAGAAGCAGGAATGGCTCCCTATCTGATGTCAACAGGTCCTTATACTGAGTAYTTACTCAAACAAATAAATTGTTTTAGAATGGCGATGGATATGTCAACAGAAGTAATGTTGGAAAGATCTTTGCAGCCATCCGTGAGGCCTCTCATTAAGCGGGCTCAACAGGGGCACAGGGTTTGTTAAGGTAAAGAGGCTTATTATATTCATATACATCTATTTCAAAAAACGTTGTTGTCGCCAGGACACAGTCCTCAGTTTTTAGCCTGCAAAGAATCGCGGGATTGTAKGCAAATATATTCATTGACGGTTTGAAAACGTGGAACATTTTTCAAGGACTTGTTCGATGGTTTTAATAATCGCAATAGTATATTAGTAGTTTGTCACAAATATATTTTGATTATATTAATTGCGCATGGAAATCCCGAGAGTCTTTGCAGGCTCAAGACTATGGACTGTGTCCTGGCGACGACAACATTTTTTAAATAGTTGTAAATACATATATATCGGGGTCTGTGCAGGTGATGTGCATTTACATGTATTTTATTTTATTATGATTCGTCCAATGAAACCCTCACGACTACATTTTACAATTTATTGAAAGGCTTATTTACAGTAMGACTTTCATTTCAAAAACGGCGCGATGTGTTCACGGTCGCCGATTTTGCACTCGGGAAGAAGCACTTAATAAACGAGGTCTCAAAGGCTAGCCTCCGTGAGCAAACGTCCATGGTTTTTACCGCCATTTTTAAAAGTCGTATATTACTATCCTGTATTTATAATGAATATGGGCGCCATGGATGTAACTGAGTTTGCATTGGACTTTTTTCATTGTCTTCCTAAGTCCTTTATCAACTAGTCATTTTGTTCTCATGGTGATCAAGTGTCTATGATATTGAGATTTTGTCTTGTCCTAAGACTTAGGCTGTTGTTTTTTGTAGCTGCTGGAAGTCTAGACTCAGTTTATGTTGCACTATGATGGAGTTGGTTCAAACACTAAAGTGATGCCAAATCTTGATGTCAAGTGACGTCATCTGATGAAAACTACCCAAGCAAGCTAACAGACCCTTCYATATTACTTATCCATTAGTTGATTTATTTATAAATGCACTATTTAAAGGATATATATTATTCGGTTTTTTGAATTTTTTTAAATATTGTTTTTCTTTTTGCACGGTTGACTATTCTTAAAATTCCAGTATAAGAATCGAAAACAATGGAATAAACACTYAATTTACACAGATTCGATGATATTGCCGCCTGTAATGGAATCTTAAAAATAGTCAACAACAGTTCAGCACAAAGACGCTATGAAGACTTTGATAAAAACCATTAGAATACAAATGAAAGGTAGTCTATGATTGCATGTGGCTAGCTGCACGTATATGCCTGATAAAGCAGGGATTCTGGCGTCATGCGCAAGAAAATTATGAAAATTATACAAAAATGCGCTAAAACAAGGTGAAATTATGCGCTAAAAAAACCTTTTTTTATTATGACTGATTTTATAATATACAGATAACTTTTAGGCTTTTTCAGTTACACTTTCTTCGCTATTTCGTAACCAATCAATCAAAAGTGTTTGCCTTAGTCTTCTCGCTCATTTCGCCAGGAACGCCGTGCCATGTCTGGCCTGAAAAGTTTACTAAGTTTATTTTATTTCTTTTCAATAGGCAATGTGCAGCGACGCCATTTTGTGAATCAATCAAAAGTGTTTGCCTTAGTCTTCTCGCTCATTTCGCCAGGAACGCCGTGCCATGTCTGGCCTGAAAAGTTTACTAAGTTAACTTGATTTCTTTTCAATAGGCAATGTGCAGCGACGCCATTTTGTGCAGGAAAGAATGGTGGTAGTTGTAGTCCTGGTAATTTATTTAATTACCATCATGCTTTGCTGCATAAAATGGTGTCGCTGCACACTGCCTACTCCATTGTCGGGTTTCAAGTCTAGTGGGGACTGGTCAAAATCCCCTAATTGGATAATCATGAGATAAGACTTGCATAGAAAGCCCTTGTTGAGAAATGCAAAATTCCAAAATTTGATGCAAATCAGTGCAATAGTGAACGAGTTACGGCCTTTCAAATATTCGAAAATTTCCAAAGAAATGTATGGGAAGCCGTGAATGTGTCCGCATTTTGACCATTTTCCGGACACATTCACGAGATCACATACAAATTTTAGAATGTTTGAAAGGCTGTAACTCGTTCACTATTGAACTGATTTGCATCAAATTTTGGAATTTTGCATTTCTCAACAAGGGCTTTCTATGCAAGTCTTATCTCATGATTATCCAATTAGGGGATTTTGACCAGTCCCCACTCGACTTGAAGGCAGTGTGCAGCGACACCATTTTATGCAGCAAAGCAAGATGGTAATTAAATAAATTACCAGGACTACAACTACCACCATTCTTTCCTGCACAAAATGGCGTCGCTGCACATTGCCTATTGAAAAGAAATCAAGTAAACTTAGTAAACTTTTCAGGCCAGACATGGCACGGCGTTCCTGGCGAAATGAGCGAGAAGACTAAGGCAAACACTTTTGATTGATTGGTTACGAAATAGCGAAGAAAGTGTAACTGAAAAAGCCTAAAAGTTATCTGTATATTATAAAATCAGTCATAATAAAAAAAGGTTTTTTTAGCGCATAATTTCACCTTGTTTTAGCGCATTTTTGTATAATTTTCATAATTTTCTTGCGCATGACGCCAGAATCCCTGCTTTATCAGGCATATACGTGCAGCTAGCCACATGCAATCATAGACTACCTTTCATTTGTATTCTAATGGTTTTTATCAAAGTCTTCATAGCGTCTTTGTGCTGAACTGTTGTTGACTATTTTTAAGATTCCATTACAGGCGGCAATATCATCGAATCTGTGTAAATTAAGTGTTTATTCCATTGTTTTCGATTCTTATACTGGAATTTTAAGAATAGTCAACCGTGCAAAAAGAAAAACAATATTTAAAAAAATTCAAAAAACCGAATAATATATATCCTTTAAATAGTGCA